AAGCAGAGAAATGCTACACAAAGGCATTGCAGTTGGATCCACAAAGCGAAAATGTGCACGAAAACCTTGAAAAACTAAAAAGAACGAAACGGCATTTAGCCAACGGAAGATCCAAAGGGCGATGAGAGAAACGAGAAAAATTATTTTTGTATACAGTTGTTTATTTTGCAAAATTTCTAGATCTGGTTCACGTTGTTTGTGTTTCACTCGATATCTAAACACCGAGAAGTGGTTGAAAAAACGAGGCGCAGCCGAGTTTTTTTTTTTAACCAATTTCAAGGTGTTTGGATATCGGATTAAACACGCTTTCGAATGTTTGATATAGCTTCTCAAACCATTAATAATTCTTGGAGAAAATCAAAGCAAAAGTTCACCAAATTTTATGATGATTAAGATCACATATCCAAACCTCCTTCACGGTTGTAATTTCCTTTGTTTTCTCAGCATGAATTAGTAATAAGTTTGAGAAGGGTAGATAGCGCTATCCACTGGATGGCCACTATCCACCAGATCCGGCTTTCAGTGCGTTTTTTTGACACTTATCCGTTGGATAGAGTTATCCGCACTTTATACAACTGGACCCTGCTTATAACATTTTACTTTTTGTGAGACCACAACGTTAATTTGAGATTGCACAGCTTTCACTGCTCAGTTGGGTAAAATGCATGGTTACCTTCAAGTTTTGGAGACTTTGAAACAGATTTATTGTTCTGCACTTATTATTTTTTTTTTCATTGAATAGCATGTAATGCTGACTTATTTATCTTTAGTCAAATTTTTTTCTCGAATAAAACGAGACAAATAATCGCGAGTCTTGGTTTCTCGATTAAATGACACAGACTCCATGTAACGTGCTAATTAGAAATTATTTCATTTAACTTTTAATTGGGACTTGTACATTTGCTTTCATATTGTGATTTTGGTAATCCGATATTTTAATCAAATTTCAATCCCGACGCTCTTGTAGTTGAAAAAAAAAATCAAATATGGGTATTAAGCTCGATCAGTCGTGATCTAAAATGGTCTCCTGAACATCCTGGAAAAACCCTTCGGGAATATATTTGTTCGCTGAGGTAATTTTGTGGGGAAAAAAACTGAACTTTACTTTGATTTCTCTCAAAAGTGGTCCAAAAATTTTATGATTTCCTGCTTGAGTTATTCTAAAGTTGATCATACCTTTGAGAGGAAAAGACATCGAAAACAACACGCAATAGGCAATTTCATTTCAATGCGCTGCATCTATACACGAACAGGTTCTTAAATCGGAAACAGTTGATGTTCTTAAGGGAAATGTCTTATGCGAGCCTCCGTGATTGACTTGCTTCTCTGTAAGACATACTTTAATTTTACGCTGTGTTAGGAATGATTAGTTACCAAAGTCATTTAGTTTAAAGGTGAATGCTCCACTTGTACCAGTTACCTCTAATCACAGCTTTATTATTTTAGTTGGTGTGGTCGGAAATGTTTAATGTCATGCACACCACGACCAAATTGCTGATGTGATATCGATTGATGATGCTTCATGGCTGTCCTTCTGGAATTTGTTGTTTTAACTGAGGCAGTGGTACGTCTTGATGCGATTTGGTTTGGTCGAAAACAATGAACTCTTGCTCACTTGATTTTTTTTTTCCAAAGCTTCTTACGAATGATGTAAACCGCAATCAAGGTATAAATAACACTAGCCACTACCACGGCTGTTGCCCACTAAAGGCGTTTGGACGTGCTTCCTTGCGCATTGCGGCTGTTAGCTGCGGAGCCAAGTGTGTTATCCGTCTGTCCAATGGAATGCCCAAGCGAGTGTTATGGAGAGTGAGAGGATGGTAATTTCAAAGTCTTCAAGTCACCTGAACATGCACACTGAAATCGTCTACTTGTGTTTGCCAAACAAGGATGAGAACAAGGCCTCAACCGCGAGCACAAGTTATATCCTGCAATTTATCAGTATATGATTTATTGTGACTCTCGATCATTTTGTCTAAAGCCCCTGACAGCTTTGCTCACCATATCAGGGACCAGCTTTCATTCATTTTCCGAAAGGTGTGGAAGATTCTTTGGGGAAATCACATTGGCCTCAAGCTGAAATGGAGGGAGGGGGAAGAGGTCAGTCGACGCCAATAGAGGATAAATGGGGAACTGTAGAACACTGGCTGCCAGTGAGGTGGGGGAGGGGAGGGGGAGGGGAATAAGAATATCACAAAATCCTATGTGGGGATAAAATCATCTAACATTAAAACTAAACTAAAATCCTCTAACTCTCCTTTCTTTCTTCACACTCTCTCAGCTTGATGATGCATTACTATAGTTGGGAGAAATTATGTATTAATCACCGGCCCCAGGAACTGAAAAGGATAATGGGAATATTAGAGCTGTGTACGTCTTGTAGACAAATCTAATTAACCCCACTAATATTTTAGGACATTTAGATTTGTTTTCCCAATAGGCACGCGGAGTGCAAAACGCTAACAAATCATGAAACGCTGGCATATTCCTTTGAATGTTCGAAAATGGTAGTTTATTAACTCATTTACTCGTGTCAAGGAAAAACAACACTGTTATTCAAGAAATAGAACTTAAACCTAGTGGTTAAAGAGATGCGGAGGAGCTGATTCTCTTCAACGACCTAACCATGGTTGTCAAACCAACCTTGTAGCAAAGTAAGCCGGAATGTTACAATAGATTAGGGGGGAACCGTCTAACATATACTTTTAGGCATAAACGCTGCTAAATGTAGCGAGATCCCTGTTGTGCCAAATTTCCATGTTACTGGTATTTTCATTTCTGACTTGAACCTTGGGATAAATGTTTCAGTAAGTTTCCTTTGATTCTGAATAGAACGGTATCACCGAGATATTTAGAATGTTTTTCATCCGGAGTAAGAGTTTGACCCAAAATTGTTCTGACATATACAGCTTCAATTATTTCATTATGAAAGTTATTCTAAAAAGCATGAAATCTGAGTTGAAACCTCTCTTAAACCAGTCAAAAGTTGTATTGACGTGCACCAAGGTTTATTCCGGCTCTTAACCATTTTTTGGAGTTAATTAATTCTGATGTTATCTCCTTCTACTTTGGTTCTCTAAATATTCAATTATGACCATATGATAATCTACATATAGAATTGTGGAGACCTTTGCATTCTTGGTGTCAACTTCATAACTAATTTCTGCCGTGTAGACTTCCTTTAAGTCAGCCACAGTTCCATGTAGCCACCATGCATCTTGTCGAGAGGTTGGGTTCAGTTAAGGTTTGGGAACTTAAACAACTTAAAGCTGAATCACTGATAAGATTCCCGTCTATAAGTTTTGCACTTAAAGAATTAGCAGACGCTTTAAATTTGCAGATATCTGAGAACTGACTTAGATAAATGGATACCTTTTTTTTGTTAAGCAGAAACTCCAAATTATTCTGGCAACAATATATGAACGGGACAACTGTAAACACACGAAGCGAAACGGTCAATATTCGTCATGGCTGTGCAATTTTATCTTATACCGATGGTTTTTCGCATCAAAATTTTGAATGAATACGATTCTATCCAAGTCAAATTTAAGAGGATGATTCTTGAGCTTTAAACCCTGTATTTAATTTTTTTCTGTTTTCGATTGACCATTTTCAAATTTTGGCAAATTTTGTAAATTCTGAATTGAATTACTGGGGAATTTTCAAAACGTTGCTCTTTTTTCGCCATCACGTCAAAGAGAAATTTCTGCGAATTAAAACCCGATCTATCATTGCATGAATATCCTTGACATGACCTATGCTCCACTCTAATGCCGGTTCATGATAAAAATCGATGATTAATTGCAAACACTTCACAACACATTATAGTCTTATAAGAATCCCTGCGTCTGTCTTTGAGGCGGATTAACCTTAAGTCGGATTTGTTTAGAAAACATTTTGAAGTTGAATAAAAGCCACGCAAGATAATCCTTGAGTGGGTTTAACGCACATTTCCTTTTTCCACCTTGTGGACGAAGTAAATGACAGCCTCTTTACAGAAATCATGCAAATCAGCCGACCGAAGTCACGCTAATGGAAACTCTTGTTGTCAGGCAAGGATAGACTATGTTTACTGTTGGTCGAGTGAAACTTAACCCTAATAATCATTTAAACCTTTTTTTGTGGCAGGTGTTAGCGTGTTAGGGGATCACTCTGCCGTTTTTACGCCCGGCTTTTTTTAAACCGACTTCTCGAGGAAGCAAAAGTTTTGGCGGAATCATAACCAAGCGTCAACTTTTTTTTTACCTTGTGGTGAGCGGCGAAGGATCTTTTGTTCCGCAGTATTAGAGTTTATTGTATATCTTGACAAGGACTTCCTTACCGAGCTTTTTTCGGCGAGTTGTGATGGACATTGAACCATTTACTTTCTTTGTGTTATCAAAACACTTTTAAGATCTTACTGCCTCTTTCCTACAGAGGTGTGACAACCGGCATTTAACTTACACAATGGCATCTGCTTATTAACCAATTTCAAGTCAAAACATGTTTGTTTTACAATTATCAGTGCTCTCAACCTTAGACATTGTGCTGATAAAAGAAAATATATTACCGCGTAAACTTACACAGGAGGTTTTTCAAGTCACGAATGGTTTATCTGTTAAAACGAAGTTAGTTACGTTAGTAAAATACTATTATGTGATTTTGTGAGAATGCCTGGATACCAAAACTTGCATGAAAAATGGGAATGCGTGAGATAAAAAAAGAGATTTAACATCGATGCAAAAACTCAAATCGTTTATTCTATTATTATGTAGCATGTGTGTGTATATTGTTCCTCAATGTATAAATTCAGCGTTAAAGACACAGAGTCTTACATAAACAGTGTGTTTTTAGTAAACTACGTGTAGATTAACCGATTAACGACACTCTGAAGGCACTCGAGCCTATTAACCTGTTATGCGACTGAGAGGTAATTCCTCTTGGGCATAAGTAAGATCACTTAAGGTTTAATCCATATAATAGTGAATATTTACAAATACTAAAAGGTCAACCGAGAATATTAAGGCATACAAATCCTTTTTCATTTATGAAAACTTCCCTCTTTACTTAATATGATGTAATGGCAAAGTAAAGAAGCTAAGTCCAATAGTTTAAGACGTCTTTGCAATCTGATTTATAGCTGAGGGAATAAAGCACAGGTTGCAGAACTTTCAAGTGCTGACAAGTTCAGTCACTAACGTACTT